TACAAAGGCTACAAATTGGAGCCCAATATTAGGGTTAGGGATCTGCACCAAGGTAGGGTTAGGGTTAGAAAAACGACATGTCCTGGCATGATTTTGAGGGTTGGGACGTGTTTAGCATGGGGAGAAATGATGAGCTGCGCAGAAAAAGCTACTCAAAGAAGGCTTTTTCAAAATGGCCCTCTTTTCTAAGGAACTGGAGCCCAATATTAGGGTTAGGGATATGCACCAGGGTAGGGTTAGGGTTAGAAAAACAGCGTGTCCTGGCATAACTTTGATGGTTGGAACGTGTTTAGCATGGGGAGAAATGATGAGCTGCGCAGAAAAAGCTGCTCAAAGAAGTCTTATTCTAAATGGCCCTCTGTTCCAGGGAAATTTGGCCCTATATTAGGGTTAGGAGTCTGCACCAGGGTAGGGTTAGGGTTAGAAAAACGAGGTGTCCTGGCATGATTTTGATGGTTGGAATGTTTTTAGCATGGGTAGAAATGATGAGCTGCGCAGAATAAGCTACACTAGGAAGGCTTTTTCAAAATGGCCCTCTGTTCCAGGGAGCTTTGCCCCTATATTAGGGTTAGGGGTGTGCACCAGGGTAGGGTTAGGGTTAGGAAAATGAGGTGTCCTGGCATGGTTTTGATGGTTGGAATGTGTTTAGCATGGGTAGAAATGATGAGCTGCGCAGAAAAAGCTACTCAAAGAAGGCTTTTTCAAAATGGCCCTGTGTTCCGGGGAACTGGAGCCCAATATTAGGGTTAGGGATCTGCACCAGTGTAGGGTTAGGGTTAGAAAAACGAGGTGTCCTGGCATGATTATAATGGTTGGAATGTGTTTAGCATGTGCAGAAATGATGAGCTGCGCAGAAAAAGGTACTCTAGGAAGGCTTTTTCAAAATGGCCCTCTGTTCCAGGGAACTGGAGCCCAATATTAGGGTTAGGGATCTGCACCAGGGTAGGGTTAGGGTTAGAAAACGAGGTGTCCTGGCATGGTTTTGATGGTTGGAGTGTGTTTATCATGGGCAGAAATGATGAGCTGCGCAGAAAAACTACTCATGGTTGGGTTTTTCACAGTCCCTCTCTTTTCCTTTAAAACCTTCACCCTCCTTTATTGCCCACAGATTTTCACCAACCTGCAGCTCACACTCGTCCAAGACAGAATCTCTCTTTTCCCCTGCACACCTTTTAACCCTGTCCAAAAATCTTTCTCATCCTGCGCACGATCCCATTTGCTTCCATTGTCAAACTTCACTCTGGGTGCTTTTTACGGAAGTTTTAATTGGCAGAGCATGGGTGTTTTCAGGAATCTGTTCCTTTCCCTTCCATGAACTGTTTATCAAGGAAAATACTGATCTGCAGCAAACGTTGGGTCATAAAACTTAGTGACGAGAGCGTTCGTTGCGTTTGCACCATTAATATATCATGCCAAAGTCCTCTGGAGGCCCATTCTAGGGACAGCCGCGGGCCTCTGCAAACAGCTGTTTGCAAGAAGGCCCAGATCTCATCAGCTATCTCAAGCAGAAGGTTGATGTTCGGTAGACAGGGAGAGATGGAGCTCAGAGGTGACCTGTCAGTCCAGCTGCACCTGCTTCGGTCTTGTCCAGTGCCCCCTTTTCGTTCCAAGCCCTCCGCTGGCAGCCTTTCTCTATCCCCCAGGTTGGTAGATGGTCTTTGCTTCAGAAAGATCCTACATCCTTTGCCAATTCCAACTTCAGCAACAAGAATGTAACCCTTACATGCACTTTCTGGCTCCTAGAGCAGTTTTCTGAAACAGGCCATTCATGCATTCAGTGTTTAAAAATGTAGAGTCTGAGTTCGTAGACACCGTACTTGCCGAATGCCCGTGCAGCCCTTCTGCACACGCTCAGACATATACCCCCCAGTGCTGAATGGCACGCATGCATTCCCCATCTTCAGTGGGATTCACTTCATTCAGCCCCCAAGGACTGGTTCCTGTATTCATATCCACGAGCCCCTTACTGTCATGGGGTTTTCTTGCATGCAGACAGCCAAGATCAGGTTCCTTCAGTGGCCCTGTAGAGAGGACTGAGATGCCAGCTGTCTTACTGGGTGATTCATCGTCATGCGTGACCTTGTCCTTCTAAATAGAGATGTCAGGGACAGTAGGTCAGGTCAGCATTTGGCTGAGTTTCACCTCCAGGTTTGGAAAACCCCGACTTCCAAGCTTGGGGAGGACCCGGCATCTGATTTATGGCATGACTTTGACTGCTCTTCTAATTGATCTCTTTGCCTGCTCCACTCCCCTTCCCAGCTTCCTTTCTCTTCCATCCTACTTCTTTGTCTCGCCTTCCTCAAGGGAAGATGTCAGCACAAGATAAGCCTAACCTTTAGACATTACTTCATTAACCTTTTCACACAAGTGACTCATCCCGGCAGCTTGGCCTGGATAATCCCAAGAATCTGTCTTCAGCTGAGGGGGAGTTTGTCATAAGCAAGGCCTCTGTGGATTCTGATTCTGCCTCATCCTCCTTTTAATTCATGCTCTTTAGATTAACTCCCAAGGGGAGCTGCTGCTGCTTCTCCCAGCCCACATGGGCCAATTCAGCCATGGCTGAATGCCAAAAAGGATGCCAAAAAGACACGGTTCTCTCCAAGAGGTGGGGTGGGAAGAATCCACATCTGAATTTCCATGACATCATGGCAGCATCAAGGTAGAACCAGAACGTCTGTGGATAATGGAGCTGTTACATGACCAGTGAGAGATACTTCTTTGACCTCAGCTTGGTGTCCTCCACGTGTGAAGAATTCTTTCTTGGAGTAATGGTCCATGGAGACAATTCTCCATGAGCATCAATAAATAACCTGGCTTTACTCCCCAAATATCTTAGCTGATAATCCTGCACTTCAAAACCACACAGAACGCCCCTAATCAAATAATCCCTCTGCTTAGGCTTGGCTGATGGACAGATCTGCTCCTGGCATGTTGTTAGCTCACATTTACCTTCCTCCAGGAACTGCTGGAAAGTTCTATAGCTGAAATCCAGAGGTTTCCTGAGGCACCCAAGGGAGAGGAGAAGACACAGTGGGCTTGGAGCTTTCAGGCCATGAGAGCAAGCAGCCACTTTTGATCAGCAGGGATTCCAGCATGCTTTCTCCCGACGCTGACTTGCTACCCTTTTTGCATTAGTTTGGCTTTGCAACACTGGGTTCTTTCTCCTTGCTCACCAAAAGGTCAGCCCCATCTTGATAACATCTGTCTTCGGAGGTCTGGGAGAACACCAGTGGTGCAGAGCAGGCCACAGATAGTGGTGCATGCATGCCAAAGTGGCAGATGTCGTGAGCACAGAGAGGAACAAGAAGGCCAAAGGGGGCCGTGGTATCTTTCCTTCAGAACACAAGCCTTTGCTTGGAGTGAGGCCTCAGCAGCTCTCTTGCCACGTTGTCCTTCCTCCATCCATCAGAAAAGGATGAGGGAAGAAAAGAACCACATAGTTTTACACCAGAAAGCCGCACTAGGGGTCTTTCACCCTCACCCTCCATTTAGCCGCTCACTGGGATGGCTTGCCAGCAGAGAGCAATCACAGAATGATGGGGACCAAAGAGAAGTGTGGACTTTGCCAAGCTCTGAGTGGAAACCAAGGAAGGCTGGGTTGAATTTTCGAGTGAAATTATTTCTCCCAAAAGTAGTCCTGGGGCTGGGGCTGGGGGCTACGAGACACACACACACACCATGCATTCATGGTGCTTCCACACTCTGGAACCATTTTTCTTGTTTGGCTGCAAGAAGATGTCACAGAGCCAAAGGGGTGTGGCTGCATGCAAAGCCGAATCAAACAGAGGGCATCGCTTTCTTTCCTC